ACGTGGCGGCGGCAACAACAATACTACAGCTGTTCCTGAAACCACGCCTTCTTTCTTTGCGTGAACATTTAGGCAGCAGTATCCTAATCTTCCCACACAGTGATGTAGACATGTGGGGGCGTGTTAGAACGAGCCGTTTTAGGTAGGTGTGGCTGACTCTTAACTTTTATAAAGAATATCTCTTTGGATTTGAGACTTTAGTCTTTGCAACTTTACAGATCTTCTTTATGCACCAAGAGCTCGTAACACTCCAAAGAGAAAGGACAAATTTAAATCACATCATACCCTTTAAATCGTGCAGTCAATGTTAAAATCAGTATGACACCAGAGCTGTTACAGTCGCTATATGTTTTTGTTTTGAAACTTCCTCGACCGATTACAATGACATTAATACTCGTCATTGTTGCTTTGTCTCCAGCCAAATCATTTTGAATATTTGATACTCTAGTCATATTCTTACAACCTCCACAGCTTATTAGTGTGTTTTCTGTTACATGTGTTACTAAAACTACCTCGTTTTTCTTCTATCATGAGATCAGCAAATTCATATGTAAGAAAGTCCATCCATCTATTCATCCAGCCTCCAAACCCATTGCAAGGTTCGCGGTTATATTTACTGTAATATTTGATCAACGTAATGCATCTTTGAATAAAACATTAAAACTTCACAAGTATCATGTTTGGTCAATGGTTTCCTGAAGTCTAATCGAAAGGTTCATGTGTTTTCACTGCAGTACGATCGAATACACCAACATGATCATCTGTGAAGCTGGAAAACGAGCCATTTAATAATAACTTCAGTAAAAGTGTCCAGGTTCAGCGGAACTGCGGTGACGCGGGCCCCCAGGCTGCCGGGATGACGTCCATCATTGCACCGCCTTTACATGTTTCAACTCGGTCCTGTGAGCAACGGTAAAGCTGCGCTTCCAGCGGCTGAAGGTTCAGTTCCGGCTTTTTGTGAGACTAAGTTTAATCTACTGCTGCAAGCATGTCTGGAAGAGGCAAAGGCGGGAAAGGGCTCGGGAAAGGAGGCGCTAAGCGCCACCGTAAAGTGCTGCGGGATAACATCCAGGGCATCACCAAACCCGCCATCCGTCGCCTCGCGCATCTCCGGTCTGATCTACGAGGAGACCCGCGGTGTGCTGAAGGTGTTCCTGGAGAACGTGATCCGCGACGCCGTGACTTACACCGAGCACGCCAAGAGAAAGACGGTCACCGCCATGGACGTGGTGTACGCGCTGAAGCGACAGGGACGCACTCTGTACGGCTTCGGAGGATAAA